TGTTTGTTAATACAACCATTTCTGCTTATCCATTAGTGAAATCTGTGCTGTTTTAAGAAAGATTACACCCAGTGACATTTGACTTTACATTTCATATAAGTGTTTCTAATTAGTCACAGTTCAACCTAAATCATTCTTAGTATTTCACACCATATGCCATCTTTTTGCAAACTGCTTTGATGCATCTGTATTTCGTGTTGGCGAAAGGAATCGGGAGGAAGCAAAGCGCCGCGAACGCATTTGGGCCGCTCTGCATCGAACCGCAAAAGAGAACCCGCTCTACGATGTGGTCATGAACGGCCGCTTCGATTTAGATGAGCTGACCGACGGTACACCTGGACCTGCAATCTCCGGAGATGGAATTGGGTCGGATGCTGCTAACAATCGCACCGGAGCTATGGGCGATTTTGGACCGACCTCAGCATCAGTTGTTGGCCCTATGGAAGATGGTAATCTTGCTGTAGATGAGGATGTAACCAGTTCTCTTCGCGATTTGCAGCAGGAAACCGAAAGCGACGTAAGCGATGCACTTTGAATCATCTTGCTGTTTTGATTTTCCTTGCACAATTACGATGGTATATGAGAAACGATTTCACAATACACAGATTCTTTGGTGTAGGATTCTTAGTCAATCAAATGTAATTTCACTTTGAAAGCAACAGTAAGTTTGCAAACGAGATCCATATTGCCGGATTTCCATCGATTCTTCTCTTTGTGTATTCGACGTCAGTAGGGAAGACGCGTATTTCTTTTAGGCATAAAAATCAAGTATATTTCCCCCTGTGTTTCCTTATATTTTTACTCCAGTTTTTCATTCGATAATCGTATGGTGATATTGAGAAAGCACAGTTGCTTGCTTTCGATAATCCAAGAATGTATGGGGTTCAAAATAGTCAGATTAGTGTAATAGTCTGATGTGATGAGTGCGATTGGTTGATTGTGGAGTGGAAATGAGTAGACAGCGTTTTGTACCGTTGGGTGGTTTTGAAGTGTTCATAGTCGATGGACTGTGAGCTGTTCCATTTTGAGTCTGCGCCCCTGGGTCATACCAAAGGTCATGCTCGTTTCGACCAGTCTTCAAGTTGAAGCCAAAGTGAATTGGTCACCATTGAGGTAGACAAATCTGTCCTTTTGTTCTCAAAATCGATTCGTCCGATCATCTCGCTTACCCTGGCCTTATTCTGTCGGCCGATCGAAGCGACCGGGACGTTTGACAGGGACAGATCGGAACGGGAACAGCTCACTCTGTCCTTCATCTGTGAACACTTCCAAATTACATTACAGAGCACATCACAACCAACCAAACATATTCATCAAATCTTCAATTTTTCGTGGTGCACGAGAAACTCCTTGTCCATTTCGCACTTCTCTGTTCTTGAAACCTCATTATTTAGCACCAAATGACACCATTGCTACTGTTAAATACCTCCTGTGAATTTCGGTTCATTGCAATGGGTATCTTTTGTCTCTAATAACGTCAAGATTTATACGTTCGCAGAATGATTGCAGTTACATTCATTTGCGCTGAACTCTTCGTTCATTGACAGAGTCATATAATCACTTCTTATCTCTCTCATTTGCTTTGAACCCTACAGCCAAAATTAATGGGTATGATAACCGAACGCAGACGGGAGCAGTTGCCCATGGTTTGTCGCAAGTCTGAACTACCTCAGGACATATCAACTATTCGTGCTCTCGAACAACATCGGCGTCCGGACAAATACCTGGAAACACAGCCTGACAACTAATCGAAAGTGTTATCACTTTCTACACTGGTTGTCCTGTCCCATGGCCTATGCAATCGCTCAGCCCCTATAGTTACTCTCGTACCTAATCATCACCTCTGGTTGTATTCGTCCTCATCGGAGGATTGTGCCACCCGAGGTTAGATTGTGATCCTAGTGATCCTTTGAAAACCATGTGCACGCGATGACATGCACCCAGATTTCATGTTACGCTTGGATTCTGCTTGGTTGCTCTCATACGACAAACACACTTGTGCACTCTCACAACCTCCTCTTTGTTTATTCTTCCAGTGGGATCTTCACCGTGTTCATTCCAAATTCTACTGATTGTGTACCCCTTTTCCTTCCTCTTTCAAGCAGTTCCCTCTCCCCCAAGACTTCGTCCGATTTCGACTATCCACCACCATTTACCACATACTATCTTCGTTGTATTCCATTGTATGTATTGATTCTCATGAAATGGAAGAAAAACCAAATTTGCATGCATTGGCAAAAGAACATTGCTATTCGATTCGATTCACTTAGGCCTGTTATTCACCCACCTCATCCCATGGTTTTGGGGGTTCTTACGCTCCCAACCTTATCCAGACTCGTGCACGCACACAACTGTGTTTATGTTTCCGAATCCCATACAGCCACTCTGTTCGCTGCTCATTTTTAATCTCAACTCAGTTTAATCTTACCGTCGCATGTGCCCAACGATCCTCATCCAGCCTAGACCATGCAAAATAGCAGAGCTACATTTGTTCACAGACAGCTGACCATATCCCAGTGGTCACCTCCATCATTGTCATCATCATTTAAGATTCACTCGCAATCCGCTTGAACTCATTCACAATCTTCCTCACTGTGTCGTGACTATTGCCGTATGAGATTCACCTTCCGCTAGGTCGTTCGCGTCGTGTCGCCATGATCCTTCCATTCTGTCTTGCTTCCCTAGTCTTAATTTCTACTCAGGGTGGGCGTGTTGCCTGCGTACACAGCGATCGCCATTGTCTCTTACTCAATTCATCTGACTTTCTTGTTTGTTTTACGGTATTTGTTTGCACTTGGCGTACACGCGTGTGTACATGTCTTTTAAGGTGCACGCTTACTTTGCTGTCTCTTACTCAATTCATCTGACTTTCTTGTTTGTTTTACGGTATTTGTTTGCACTTGGCGTACACGCGTGTGTACATGTCTTTTAAGGTGCACGCTTACTTTGCTTCCGACATGGCAAGAACCTCAGCACCCATTGTAGCGCCCCGCCGTCCCGAGTTTTCGTTTTGTAAGTAATGCATACAAATGAGCGGGATTGTGTGCCTCTATCCACCATACAGCCCTATCATTTTCCTAGTTTATCTTTTATTATTCACCGTCGGTTCGTTAATGGCTTTATTGTGTTCCCTTCGCCTCTTGCTCGCTCTCATTGTGTTCCTGTGGTATTATACCATTTCATTGATTTAAGCACTTTTCCATCGCTCAGGTCTGCTCTGTTTTCTCTTCGTGGTTCTGTATGCATTTCTTCCTTCTGCGGTCTTCATCATTCTCGTCACCCCGCATTCATACAACTCTTCGTTCCACACCACCTATGGGTGAGTGTATTTCACTCCAGTCGCTTTGTACGTACTGAATGATCACACAATTGTATTTGTGCGGATTCTTCTCACCCAGCAGTGATTACTGATGGTGTCGTCTGTGCTTCATGTACATGTACAAAATTATCCCGTTGTGTGTAGCTCACATTGTCTCGATCCGTCCGCCTGTTGACGCTGCACAAACCTGGTTCCTTGTGATTACCCACTTGCAATAGCCGTGAGACTATCCAAGTCTCACCGGGCACCTGTCTGTGTGCATTGCAAGTGATTTTGTCCTCCCCAGGCCTCATCCCACTCCATCCTCTCAAATTTTTCAACCACCTCGCCCGGCTGCTGTGTGCGCCTCCCACTCTGCCGCCGCCGGCCCGTTCCGCAATCCGGTGTCCTGCATTTCATTGAGAACAAAAAATCATACTTGCTCGTGTGCATATACATAAAACACAAACGCTGATCTTTTCAGGTTTCTGGTCAAGTTTGTTATTGCATCTGTGCCCAGATACCTCTACAAAGCTAGTTTTTGAGCCATTTCGCACAAAACCGAAGTCGATGTTTAAGAAGATCGAATAACCTGTGTTTTAAGGTAGTCCTCAAGTGTTTGCGCAGGAGCAGTCGTCAGCGTTTGATAGATCGGTTATTCCGGTTTGAAATTTCACTCCATACTGACCCAACTAGTGAAATAGTTATCCTAAAATAATTCTTCCAGATTCGTCATTTACTTAGGTGCATCTCATCTTAGGAGGTTATACACTCCAGCATCTTATTTGTGTTGCCTTGAGAGTCTCGTCTCGAACAATCCAACCGGACGACCGTCATTTCTATCCTTGGATGCTCCATCAATAAAAGATGAATAAACTTAAAAGCGTTATTAAACGCTATGGGGTCTTCTACTCTTTTTCATGTGTAGAGCGATTTCTCTCGCGCGGCAAAAACCATTTGAATGAATGCTGGATAATTTCATCATGAATCTACTCCTTTGTATGTCAGTTGTGGCTATCATCTTATAAGTAATGTAACTCGACTGTTATGTTTATGTTAGCCAGTCAACAATATGGGTGCTGTAACTTGTTGTTTTACGTCTCATAAAGTCACGTCTTCCAGTTAGATCGAGATCGCTCCTGCAGTGGACCATTAGAATTATGGTATTCAGTCCTCTGATTGTGTAGATTGGTCTGGATGAGTTCATCCAATCATCTCATCGCCTGTTCTTTTCAAAAGTTGGCCCTGTTCTTCCCGAGGGATGGATTAGTTATAAAAATCCATTATCGTTATACAAATAAACAGAATGAAGTCAACACTGCTGATTGCTGCGGGTTCCCAATGCATGCAAAATGAACGCAAATGCTTGAAGCGGTTAGGGGTGCTTGTTTCAAGGAAGGAGAGGGTAAAGTAAAGGAACATCTGTGGTCATCATGTAGATTCCACTGTGTTACTATGCGAACGCTCCATTTTTAGGCACTCCCTTCCACCAACACTTGGCAATAAGGACGCCAATGCTGTTGGTTCAGTGTCCTGTCGTACGGTGCACCCAAGCCACCTGTTACAGAGTTATTCAAACCCTAACGTGCAAGACTAGAGATCTGCTTTACCTAATCTCTGTGCGTTTCATTGCATCTCGTCGCCAAGTCACCCGTCAGCACTTACGTGCTTTTCTTTGCTCTGGAGCAGCAATTACTAGGTGTGGGATACGATAGCTGGGCACGCTCGATACGCGTGTTAACCAGCGAAGCCATTTCTACCGAATCACACCCAAATCTGCAACTGCTTATCTCAAGTCAAGTTTTTTGTCCACACGCTCCATATTAATCGTTGCAAAGCACGCGAAAATCGATGATTCTGATCCGTGCGTAAACTCAGGTTCACAGAGCCGTAAATATCTCATCATTCACGGCAATTTCAAAATGTAACTTTGACGCCGGTGTTTCAGTCCAGCGTTCGCTACTCGAGCATTGGAAACAAGGGCAGTTACTTCCTTTACCGTTCTGCCGTCATTCGTTATACAGCTACCCTAATTAAGAGAACCAATCCACTATAATTAAATCTTGATCCTCCGAGCACTGGTCTGCTATACGCAGTCTTTTAGCATTAAGTCGAAAGAGAATTGTGCAACATTCCGAGAAATGCGCTTCACGCGTTTTTATACATTTGAATCTGAACGACAGCCGCCGCTACAACGCACAATCGTCGAACACCGCTGCTAGTTTCGAACGCACTGTTTTTTTTAATTCTAGACCCAACAAACGAAGCAGTACACTAATCTCAATAGGTAAACACTGTTGCTGGTCATTGTTTTGTGCAGTAGGGTAAAGTGCATTTTCAGCTTCAAGTGAAATTGGTGTAAGTTCAAGTGAAGCTAACCAGTTGCATTCTACTAGGAGCCCCACAGTCACGTCACCGATTGGCTCGGGTCTACCAAACCCCGTCCAGTCTGGATGAGCGGATTTCTACTTATAGAAATAAAAGTACTTTAGAGAAAGTTATCGAGCGATGATGGAACCTTCGGTTGGGATGGGGCTTGACTATTCGTCCCACCACCCAAAACATTATATAATTGACCTTTGATCGAATAAGCTTTAGAGGAGAAAGAACAAAATCGGTGTTAATTGACCTCGATTAACCGGGTAGGAAAGCGAATCGCATCAAGATGGATCGATTAATCGGTCACCATGTTCAGGAATGGATGTTGGAATGAATCATTGCATCCGTGGACTCAGTCTGGGCCCTCAAGAGCGTGGTGAGTAAACTCCATTGAGGCCGAGGTTCGTTCGAATAACGCTACTTTTTTGAACCAAATGTGATTGTCTACTTATCCCTGGCATTGAGAGGCCCAAGGATTCAGTGGTAGAATTAATTATATTTCGTCTGAATGGAACGACTGTATTTGAACTCATTCACCACCTAGCAGAAATTACATTTCCTCTGTAATTCCCGGATTGACCATTGCATTGTATCCGTAATGCTAATGGTAACAGGCTGTCACCTACAGCTTCTCACTTGGGTACTCAGTTTCGTCGCATAGGTTCTTGTTCTTGTTGCATCATCTCTCATCGTCGTCGTATCTTTTCACAACCTGCTTACATCTGCGCGATCCTTATTGTTCAGTGAGTGAGACTTGTTGCTTTCCACTGAGAGCTGTCAGAATTTGGTGCCAGATAAGAACAACTGATGACGTGTACAGAACTGAAATATTGGATTAGCGTTATTTACTTAAGGATCAAGGTAGGCTCAAGGACCTCTCATAAAGGTTTCTGACGCACTCAGTTTCTCAACCTCTTCGGTAACCTCAGCTATCAACACTGTTCCAATTTGAGCTTGTGAAGGATTCAGCATTCTCCCTGAAAACTGCTTTGTTCTGGGGCAACGATAGGCGAACTTGGGTGATTGACCGGAACCGCCAACCAATCAAGACGGTTGAGAGCAATCAGTCAA